TACTTTCAAATATTAAAATTACTATTAATAATTTTAATTGTCGTAATTATTATTAGATTTTATTATTGCAAACAATTCTTTGAAAATGATAATTAAATAACATTTTTAGAAGTTTTTAACATCATTTAAGTTTAATGATACGTCCATTTACTATTTGAAAATTATACACTTCTTTGTATACAACAATATTCAAAATAAAGCATATAATTAATGATTACGTATAATTTAGTAAAAATTTATAGGCACCTTCTACGCTTTGTAGACAATGAATCCAAACTTGTCGATTCAATCGGTATATTTAAAAATCCATCATTACCGTGAGAAAACCCATGATTTATATTCGAAGGAGTTGGAATATCCATACTTTGCTTTTTATGAAGCAAGAAGGTTAGTTTAACATAAACAAAATACTACGACTACGCATAAATGAATTACGCTATGACACAAATACTGATATTATATTCACAATAATTTAAAGCATAAAACGGGAGTAGAACTTTATTGCATAATACTGAGCATTAATTTAAGTAAAAAAACTTTTACGCTTTATGTATTGTAGGCATTTACAGTGATTTACAGTTTGGAATTTCGACAGAACGACACGGTACGAACACTCCAGTAACTACAATTGTGGTCGTGGTTTGTAGTAGATTAATGTGATATGGTAAGTTTGTTCATTATTTTGTTAAGACGTCTCGAATTCCCTCTACCGACATGTATTAATATTAAATCATCAATGGCAGCATTTTGAAATTTGTGTGAATGCGAAAGTACAATTTATTTATAAAATTTTTTCTGGAATGAGTGTGTATATATTGATTTTTAAATAGAAAGTTTTTACTTTTTTAATATTGAGACATTGTACATAAATACTTCACTTGATATTGTGTACAAATACGTCCTGAAATATTAAATAAATAATATTATAAGAATATTAAAATTTCAGATTCTATATAATAAAATATGCATGTTACATTTACAACAATTTTAATTTAAGCAAGAGATAAGACAATAGAATTTGCATTTTTATATTTTTTAAAGTCAAAAACATTGTGGATTCGTGAAATTAATTACATACGTCCGAGGAGGGTTAGGTGGGGCTTGGTCTCCTCAAATTTATAATCCAATATTAACTTAAAAAATTTATTTGTTGCTGTACATATCAGTGTTCATTTCAACTTATAACATTCCGTGCCTTTTATATTCAGTTTAGCTA